GGTTTATACCATGGCTTCATGGTGATACCTATGCAGTGTACACCTAGGTAGCGTGGTCGCCGAGGCATGTGTGGTCTCCTACACTACCATTCATTTAGAGTCGATGAGCGACCTCTAAACGTCAACGTACGAACTTCAAATTTTTATATGTTTGTTTTCAAACCAAAACGAACATTTTAAGAGGTTGAATTCACAAATTGGTCGAATTTTTGAAAATAAGGGACGGCCTAACCGTCGTTCGAAGCGACTGCGGTGAAATCCGAGCGGTTTGGGCTCAAGTCTGAGGCAGTGTACCCAATGAACCGGCGTTCCAACAACAATACCAGCTTCCGTGACCAGTTGTTCCTGGTCCACTTCACTTCAGTCTTGCGGCTCTGACATCCATCTGTTTCAGGTCATCATCAGGTAGGAGCATTACAAACCCCAAGATCGTGATGTTACGCAGTGTACGAACTGCTTCTCCTATGACCATGGCACCAAAAACTGCCATAAGAAGACAAACTGCGGCAAGTGCGCTGGAACTCACTCAACTGCGTCCTGTGAGCAAGTTGATGGCATAGAGCCAACGTGTGTCAACTTCGGTGGAAACGACCAAGCCTCCAATCGCGGATGTCCCATTCGTGCGGAGTTTATGAATATCCGTCGGAAGGCTACAATCAACAACCAGCCCGGTCGCCTCCGTAATCATCGTTCACCTCCTGTACTCACGGAAGTCCAGTACCATCGACTTGTTCCGAACCTAGCCCCGCTTCCGCTCAACAACCAACAAGCCAATCCTGCGAGTATCCAAATGGTTCCCAACAGTCGGACAGTTCATCATCATCTCGCTGCTGCTGCTGCTGCAGCCCAGCCAATTCCAGGTTCATCCACCGCCCCTGGTTTATCATACGCTGGTGCTGTCTCAGGTGAACCTGTCGACGATTCTCCGTTCACCTCGGAGAAACTTGTAACGCTCGTGGCCGAGGTCATCATCATCATGCGCACCTGCAAGACTCGATCTGAACAGCTACATGCTGTCCTGTCCCTTGTCACTAAGTATGGACCATGAATGTTTGCTCCCTGAAGAGCAAAAACATCGAGTTTGTTGATTTTCTCAACGAACGGCACATCGACATAGCCGTCATCACCGAGACTCACCTGAAGCCCGAGCTGAACGTCTTCCTTCCCGACTTTTGGCTCGTAAGGCTTGACCGCACCAGCTCCAGGGGAGGGGGAGTGGCCATCGCTGCGAGACGAAACATCAGCTGCCGGCTACTACCAAGCTTCCAGCTGAAAATTATCGAAGCCATCGGAGTTGAGGTGAGCACATCGCTTGGTCCAATCACCATCATCGCGGTCTACTGCCCCAAGCAAACCAACATTAGGGACGGCTCGGCCGCAGACCTCCGAAGAGACATCATCGAGCTAACACGACGGCGGCAAAATTTCGTCATCGCTGGCGACCTGAACGCCAAGCATCAAGCCTGGGGCAATAGTCAGAGAGACCAGAACGGCACAATATTATACAACGGTCTGTAGGAAGCCCACTACAACATCCTGTGTCCGGAAAGTCCCACCCGGTTGAGTCGATCCGGAGCTCATGCCACCATCGACATCTTCATCAGCAACATTGGCGATAACATCTCTCAACCTATCGCCTATCAGGAACTGAGCTCGGACCACTATCCGGTGGTGGCCGAAGTAGGTTCCTCAACCAATAGGTTTCAAGTTTCCCGGCGAAATTACCATCATGTCAACTGGCAGCAGAATCAGCGCTGTGTGGACACAGCAATCGATTACGACGTCCTACCGGAGTCGTTCGAAGAAGTCGATCAGTGTCTGCAAACCATCGAAGAGGCGATATTCCGTGCCAGGGAGCAACACGTACCAGCATCTAGACAGGTGAGTCATCCTCTGAAACTTGACAGCCCAACCAAAGATCTTATCAGGCTCCGTAACACCATTCGTAGGCAGTTTCAGCGTTCTGGGCTGCCCCACTTGAAGACCAATGTCAATAGGCTAACCAAAATTATCCAGGCTAGGATGATGGAACTCAGAAATAACGATTTTGCCAACAAGATTTGCTCTCTCCCAGATTGTGCAAAACCATTTTGGAAGATGACCAAAATTTTGAAAATAAGTCGAGACCGATCCCTCCGCTTTCCTCTGTTGACCAGAACTTGGAACGATCCCTACTCATAACCTCAGTTGAAAATGCCAATGCTCTTGGCCAACATTTTGTGATTTCACATAACCTTGGCCAAGCCATGGTGAGCCCCCATGAGCCTGCCGTACTGAAAGCAATGTCTAGAGTCGCTGACACCCCCGTAGTAGTGCATGATGATAGTAGAATATCGGCTGAGGAGGTGAAAGCAGCTATTAGAAGCACTAAAAATATGAAGGCTGCGGGTATGGATGGTGTAGTCAACCTGTCAGACTCGAGTTGAAAAACTTGAGTATTGACTTCTTCAACCATCTTACCGTTATCTTCAACAAATGTTTGGAGCTTGGCTACTTCCCTGCATGCTGGAAGTTAGCCAAATTGATGCCAATACACAAGCCTGGCAAAGATCCTACCAGTACCAAAAGCGATCACTCCATCAGCCTCTTGTCCTCCATCTCGAAGCTATTCGAAAAGTTGATACCCAGCCGTCTGCTGGTGTTTTCAAATGACAATAACATCTTTCTCAAAGAGCAATTCCGGTTTAGAAAGGCCACTCTACCATCCACCAACTCGCACGGGTTACTAACATCATCAAGCGGAGCCAGTCCGTTTCCAATACAGTTGCCATGGCATTGTTGGACGTCGAGAAGGCGTTCGACAATGTCTGGCATGATGGCCTAGTGTACAAGCTGCATCGATCCAGCTTTCCCATCTACCTCGTGAAGATCATCAAAAACTACTTGTCGGGCAGATCATTCCAGGTCTAAATACTTGAACAATGTCCGCTCTGATACGTTCAACGTTGATGCAGGGGTCCCTATCCTATTCAACATTTTCACGTCAGACGTTTCTTCCCTGCCGGGTGGTGGTATCCTGTCAATGTTCGCAGATGACACCTCCATCATCTATAAGGGTCGAGTGATCCGTGCTCTGGCGAGTAAACTACAATCAGGCCTGGATGATAACAGCAGCAAGCAGTAGCTATCAGTTGAATTGCTAAGAAATTCAATAGAGAATTCAAACAAATTTGAAATAAAGCTTCGAAGAACTGGGCTGGTTCATCTCTTTCGCACTGAAGCTTCCGGAAGCTCCGGAGTTTGAGATGGGCGGGGCTCCAGAAGGGTTATCCCCTAACTACAGAGTTAATGGTGGAGCCCCAGAAGGAAGTCCTTTTAATTACAGAATTTGGAAAATAGGTGGGAGCCCCAGAAAAGGACCCCCTACAATCATAGTTGCAGTTTTATCAGAGTTGTTGCTGTCATAATTTATGTGTTGTTGTAGTAGAAATCATCCGTTGGCGTTATCCATTTGAGAAAGTAATGTAGGTCGAATATTATCGGTCACCCAGGTTCGTATTCAAGTGGGAAGCAAAGGTTTGTGGTGGTGGTAAAAATTGTGTTTAATGGGTCCAATGGGTAAATGTCCAGTTGTCCTCACTAAGGGCACCTTTGATGCTTCCCGGAATATCGTAAAATTCACGACGGCCATCATACTGGGGGCAGTGGCATGTTATGTGCTCTACCGTGTGTAGGACATGGCAGGTGTCGCAGATCCTGCGGAAAAGACCGTTTCCGGGGAAGCTATGGGAAATGTTGGTGTGCCCCGTTCTGAATTCAGTGTTCTCGTCTCAGAGTTCCAGATCACCTTTGAAACCCAGTGTTACAAATCTTTCGCTGAGACCTCCCGGGTGTAAATAGGAGCTGGTCTTCCAGATGCCACCAGGTGATCGGCCTCTATATGCCCTTGGATACCGCAGTGGCCAGGAATCCAGACGAAAGCTGTGTTCTTGGGTCCATGCTTATGAATGCCCTGGATCCAGGGATGCTTGGAAACAGCTGATCCGATGGTTTCGACTACGGTGTCAAAGTCCGTGAAAACCGCGTTTGTTGGATGGTGTAGTGGCAGATACAGCCATGAGAGCGACCGTAATTCCTATACCGACACCCCCGTGAGCTGCGGAGCCATCGGAATTTCGGATTGTATGGCGGTTGTATACGGTTCGTTGAAGCTCCGTTACCGATTTCACTAGCACGGGGGAGTTGGATCCTGCCCTAAACTTCTTCTTAATTATCAAATCAATTAAGGGTCTGGGCAGGTTCCAACTCCTGGCTCCGCACCAGTAGATTCTGGAAACCGGGGGGAGCACTAGATTAGCAGTATCAAAAAGAAATAGGTTTGCCTCGGCGAGGAGGAAAACTCCTTCGTCAGAGCCATCTGTCTTCTCAGTGAAACTAATTGACCGTTTACAGATAATCAGTGTGGTCAGTCGGCCGAATGGTAACATGCTCTCGATGCAAGTGGCCATGTCAGGCATGGGCGGGAAAAGATCGGAGCAAATTTAAAATGTTTGCAATTTAGGATTTTAGAATGAATGTCATGGTTAACACCAAGGTATTTCAGAGAAAATTAAAGGGAGTTTTGGAAAGAACTCTTGTAGATTTTCGACTTTAACTACAAGTCACTTGTGTGGGTAGAGTAGAATTTTTAAGTAGATCTGTGCCAAAATTCCAAGTTGATTGTGAAAAGGATCCCTAGATCTGTGAAAAATACCAAGGGAATCAAATTTTGAGGTTACAATTCGAAAGGAATTCTAAAAATAATTTTAAGGGAATTCCAACAAAGGAGAACTTTATGATAATTCTGATCAAAATGTCAAGACAATTCTTAGGTGTATTGTTTGGGAACTCTAAAGAGAATTCAAGTGAATTTTAATAAGAATTATGGAAGGAAGCGACGACAAAAAATAGCAATACTGCTCTCTGATCCCAACCAACTACGATAATCCACCAGCACACCATCTTCATCATCCAACGCTCTGCGAATAAGCAGCATATATCATTCCTCCAAATACACCTACCTTCAGAAAGAACAGTCCCCCCGCGGGCAGCAGAATTTTATGCGAGCCCTGTTCCGCTTTGATCGGTTCGCCGTCCTTGTACCAGGTGATGGCCGGCGCCGGGATGCCTTCCGCCTTGCAGTTGAGGGTGGTTGGCTCGTGCCGGGGCACTATCACGTCCAGGGGGTGTTCCGTGATTTTCGGGTACTCCATGGCTGCAAATGGGAGAGGAAGCAAACAAAAACCCTTGAGTGATAATCCACATTGACCGGATTACATGATGTAAATGTTTTTAAATATTGATATCGTCCTGCTGGCAATGTGTTGCGAGGCTAGAAATTAACAGTGGGGAAAAAAATATGCACAACTTCCCGAGGGATTACCGGTGAAAGTTCCATTACGGGCCCATCATTCCGGGTCGCTTGTGTTTGTCGGTTTCATTAAATTAAGCTGATAAGTCGGACTCATTTCGGAGTGTTCGTACGTAGAGCAATGTAAGTCAGGATGGGGGACGGAAGAAAAACTAAAAACATTCCCAACTTCATGTCCATATTTACTGATTTTGGCTGGTTGCTGCCATCAAATGTCAAAAGCGAAAGCGATGGAGAAAGTTGGACCACTTTACCAGTTGATCCTATTTTTCGCATGAAAAACTATGACAACATCGTCAGGGGAGGAAAAACCAGCCATCGAGCTCATTCGGGAGAGAGTTTGTTGCTTAATTTCGAAACTTTTCTGAAACAGGATTGCAACAGTAAATTTGACGTAGTTTCCCTTGGGAAAACTAATGCCTGATGGGCTTTTAACCTAGTACCTATTCGTTTGCAAAAATGCTGCCTGGTGAATGTTAACGAAAAATGCTCGCCCATTTCAAAACGAACTTTCTCCAATTCGTTCCTAGATTTGCTGTATTCTTAGTTTTCATTACAAGTGACATGGTGGTGGTTGGGCACGTCCACACACCCTTGTCTAGACTATCTCGCATATTACATCATAATCTAAACTCCTGCACCAACCAGCAAATGTTTGAGGACCCGGAGAGCAAACGAGGGAGGTGCTTCGGGAAGTCTCACACAATTCCCATTTGCAATGTTTCTTGTAAAACAAAACACACACGATTCTTGATACAGTTTTCCGTGATGCCTTCCTGCACGTATGTGGGTACTTGGATGTTTCGAGTGGAGCTCAGTTGGAGCCTTGGGTGGGCGTACCACTAGTTCAGTGCCTACAGTTTTTGTGGTTCTCTGTGAGGTTTTGCTTCCCCTTCCACCAGGACGGGTTCGCATTCTTGTATGTGTTTTTATGAGAATAACGACTGAATTAGAATGAGAACAGTTAAGAGGGGAGCGAGCAGAGAAAGGGTTGAGAAGGAAACTGTTATTTGAATGTGATTTACACAATGCGCGGATTAAATATGGGAAAAGTTTAGTTTATTATGGTTATAATATAACAATATGCACGTCTAAACTGTATGTCAAAGAACGAGAGGAGGAAGCGAGAAAAGCTGTAGCTAGTAAACTGGGGAAAACTTTTGCCTGCTGAGGACGGAAAACGTGAAAGTTGGGAGTTGATGGGAATAGAATGGGCTATTTGCTGGGATTATTACAGCTGGCAGTCATTGTTTTAGAATTTAAGAAATATGAAAGTGAAAGTACGGGTATAAATTTATCAAATTATAACATGCATCGTGCGACAATCTTTGGTGGCTGATGTCAAGCATAGCAAATTATTGCTATTTATAATACCTATCAGCGACGTAGTGAGGGTTTACTGCCCCTTGCCAAATTGAAAAAAACAAGTGCCTGGCTGTGATGGCCCAGGTGGTTGAGTGATAAGCGTGACTGCTTTCTCATCCCAATGGGTTTGGATTCAATCCCAGGTGAGGTTGATGGGATTTCATGATGCAAAAAATTCTGTTTACGTCATGTGTTGATGAGTTCAGTTTGTAGGGTCACTTAGGTCCGCACTTACGTGGCGGAACCCATACTGACGAAAACTACGTACGAATAAAAAAAAATATGTATACAGCCAGGTAGTTTTGTTCCTTATCACAAAATATTAGTGTTGCGACAGGTGATGAGGTTTCGGACCATCCAGTTAGCGAAATTTGATTTTTGTGGAGTTTGCTTTTAGGTGCAATTTAATTTTTAATTCAATTAGTGTTATGTTCACAATTCGTAGCCCGTAGGCATAGTAATTCATTATTATAGATTATTTTTAGCTAGTTACGTTAGGTTAAGAACAATAAGCTTTAATGTAGTATATAAATCTTACATTTTAAGTCCCTTTTATGTACTTGTCCTGTGTAACAATTGTTTAATAAACTTGTGCCTAGTGTAATTATTTTCACGTGTGTGTCTCGCGAGCGATCTGCATGAACTGAGTGGGCTACGGACTTGTGGATGATCGGCTGCTGATTGTGAGTCGATTTTTTTGACACTCCGCAGTTGGTAATATCTGCCCCGCTGCAATTATTCGGCTGGTTGAGCACCGTCCTGAACATTCCCCGACCCGTATTGCTCGTAGTTCCCTCGAGTTATATCAGCCACTTCCAGAACGGCCAACTTTGCCTCCGGACGCCGAAATATTCCAGTAGATGTTTTGACATCCGCGCTACGACACCTGCCATCACGCCCCAAGAATACGCGCAGTACTTGTCCTCTGGTCCAGCCGTTCCGGAGATGATCGTCTACGATGATCAATAAGTCACCGGTCTCAACCGGTTTGGTATCAACGAACCACTTCGTTCGTTTGGTGATGGTGGGAGGGTACTCCTTGATCCAGCGGGACCAGAATTGATCCAGCAGCCGCTGGTACAAATTCCAGCTGGATCGAAGCGTAGATTTATCTCCAAAAAGCTGTCTTGGACGTTGATTGACCCCACTAGTACTCAACATCAAAAAGCAGTTTGGAGTTAGGGCTTCGTGCTCTGCCGTTTCGAGTGGCATATATGTCAATAGCCTCGAATTCACCAGTGATTCGGCCTCGACCAGCAAAGTGACCAAAGTTTCTTCGTCGGGCTTACGTTCGTTAGACAGCGATGCTAACGCACACTTCACCGACCGAACCATGCGTTCCCAAGACCCCCCCCATGTGTGTTGCAGATGGTAGATTGAAACACCATTGGGTAACATTGTTTGTGAACGTCGCTGCCAAGTTCATGCTGATTCCGCGTATTTGCTCTCGTAACTCGCGGCTGACTCCAACGAAGTTCGTCCCTATATCGCTGTAAATTTCCGATGGCGCATCCCTCCGTGCTATAAATCGTCGTATTGCCATTTTACAGCACTCCATCGACAGATTGGATACCAGCTCAAGATGGATTGCCCGGATGGTCAAACAGGTGAAGAGTGTGACCCATCTCTTTACTACGCGTCGACCCTGTGTAACCTGTAGCGGGCCGAAGTAGTCAACTCCAACGAAACTGAACGGCCTCACGTACGGGGTGATCCTTGCCTCTGGTAACGGTGCCATTCTAGGAGTTCGTGGTGCCGCCTTGTATACCTTGCACCACGTACAAAACTTTCCAGCCTTCCGAAATGCCGCTCTCATCTCCGACAAGTGAAATTTCTACCCCATTTCGTTCACGGCTGTCTCTCCATTATAATGCTTGTACTGCCGATGATACCAGTCGACGATAAGTTGTGTTATGTAGTGGTTCTTAGGGAGCACGACGGGACACTTGAAGTAGTAGGGACCGTCCGAAAATCCAGCGATCCTGCCCTCCATTCTCATCCAGGAAAGCAGATAACTTGAAGAGCTTGCTGGATTTCTCCAGTCGATGCTGTTTCGCCGGAGGGAGTTGTTGGTTTCTCTGCATCAAGATGACCTCATCCGCGAATTCTTCGTTCTGCGCCAGTCTGCATGTAGTCGCTTCCGCTCGCTAAGGTTCTGCTCGTGTCAGCAACTCCAAAACATTGGATGCTTCTCTGCATCGTTTTCGTTGTAGTTGATCGATGAAACGATGGACGTAAGCGACGGTCCGCTGGCATCTTTCCCACTTTGAGAATCGCCTGAAGTTCACGAACTGTTCGACCGCGTTCTCTCGATGGATGTGCACCGGTCGCAGCTCCTTGGCCGTCCCTGTGAGAAGAGGTTGCTGTTGTGGCCACATATCTGGAGGATTCTGCAAGAAATCAGGTCCATGGAACCAACGGTGACCGTTGTCGAGCCGTAATCCATCCTCCTCTTTAGTGGCGTCATCAGCAACATTCCCCGTAGTATCGAGTATTTCTGCTACGTTTTTTTTTTGGTCCGACTGCAACCAAGCCAGAACAGTGCTTGAATCGCTCCAAAAGGTCCGCTGCTTGATACGCAATGAATGGTTCTCCTCAACTGACTTTGCTAATCTGGCACCGAGAAGAGCAGTCTGCACCTCTAATCGAGGGACAGAGAGTGGCTTTAGTGGGGAAACTTTTGTTTTTGACGAAATCAGAATGCAGCGAACTTGACTTCTATTCACGATGCGAAAATATGCAGCTGCCACATACGCTTCTTCACTGGCACACCATTGTACTTGGCACTGATGAAGTCTGCAAGTAGTAGACGAAATACGCGTATCTGTCAAAAGATAAGCAATTATAACGGAATTTAAAGGAAATAAACCAACCCACTCAAAGCTCTTCATAAAGGGATTCCGTTAAGAGGTTCGACAAATTTAAAGGATGTTCAAGGAGTTACTGCGCATCGTTTTTGATCTATTTGGATGTATATAAGAAGCTCAAGTGACGTTCTAGGTCATCCAAAGCATTCTGTAGTTTAGAACATTTGACAACCAAGACCTGCACAATGTCCTTAGCGTCTAAACTTGCTCAAACATGTTCAAAGAGGTTCTGTACATCGCTCATGATCAGTTTGATGTATATATGATGCTCAAGGTTCACCAAATTGTCCTTGATCTCAGATCAAATAATGTACCAGGTCAGTCATAACCGGTACAAGGCCCTTACTGCCGTGAGACGACAAAGTGACGTAAACGCCACCATGGTCAATTTTCAGTTTTCTTCATATTCATAATCTATACCCTAAGATACACAGGACTGAACCAAATTAACCACATCAAAAACCAACAAAATTGCTATTTGGACTTTTTACTAACGAATATTTATGAAGATTTCTGTGTGACCGAATCATTAAATCCACTGTGGAAAAATGAAGCGTTTCACACAGCAATCGAATATTCTTTATTTATGCATGAAAACCAAAGACCCAACGA